TGCAACAGGACGTGCAACACGCGCGCAACAGGAAAATGCATTGCGTGCTCAAGCTCAGCGCCCCGACTGTGCTCCCAAAGGAGCCATGGGTCAGGCGTGGAGGACACAGTGGAAGCCCTGCCAGAAGTTAGCAAGGGGCTTTTAGGTCCCCGAAAATTCCCTCCCCACCCCGGGGAGGCACAGCTGGATACGCACCTTGTAGGGCAGGGGCGGGAGCCCCTCACCGTCTCATCTGGTCCCTGGATTCTCGCCTGGGAAATCTGGTAGAGCCTCTTGCCGGCATTTCATCTGCTCCTTGTATTCCCTTGGGAGCAGCAGCCCCCTCTCCATCACCTCCCGCAGCCCCTGGCCGTGTGTGTCCCCCCCCCTGCCGCCACTGGACCCACCACCAACCGCCCAGTTCCATCCCGCCTCTCGCCCATCTCATCCCGCGTCTCTCCGGGGACCATCCCCTGCATGCGCCTACGACGCTCCGGGTGGCAACCGCGTCCTTCCTCACCCCGAAAAGTGGTGGTGTGGAGGGGAGGGGGGGGTCTTGGCGCAGCCGTCAGCCCCGCTCTGTTCTCCTGCAGGTTCTACTCACATTCTCACTCCCACCAAATTTCTCATGGACCTGAGGCACCCCGACTTCAGGGACTCTACTAGGGTATCATTTGAGGATCAGGCTCCAGCAATGGAGTGAGCCAAAGAAACCAAGTAAAGGCAGCTTACTAATGGAAAAGAAACTCTTCCTCCCCGAAGGGTTTTCTTTGATTCTTCCGTTCCTCCTTTCTTTAATTATTATTTTGGGTTTCGTTTCCGTTTGGTTCTCCGATAAGAAAATGCTTGCAGTTCCTCCTACCAGGTGGAAAAAAGCATCCAGCGCCGCTCCATCATCCCTCTGCCATGTCTCTCGGCCAGACCTGGCCGGCTCCTTCATGCCATGAGTTCCCCCTCACGGGGGCCAGAGGGGCCGGGGGTGGTGGGTCGGGGTCCTGCCTGCCCGGCAGAGGCATCCCGGGCCGGGCTGGGGACGGAGCACCCCGGGATGCTGCGGGGCCAGGGCTTCGGTGCCCGGAGGAGAGCGAGCACACAGGGCAGACCCCAGCGCTTGTCCCGGCTCCGGCCCCTCTCGTCCCCCACGGTGAAGGCTGGGCACTGCTGTGCCCTGCCCCCCCAGCTCCAGGGTGCGATGGGGCTGAAATCCCAAGTCGATAGGAAAGCTCAGGTTTGCTCTTGCAGCGCTTAGCCAGGCAGGAGCCCCCCTGATGTTGCAGACCCCCAAACTCTGCACTGGGGTTTAGCTGCCGGCAGTTTTGCCATTGGGACCCTGGGCCACACAGAGCCTGGGGGGCTGCAAGGGCGGCACGGCAGCGGGGAGGGCAGGGGCTCGGCTGCTGGCAGCGTGGCTGGGAGCTGCCACCGGCTCTGGGGAACCACCAGGAGCAGGGCTCGGCCTCAGACCAAAGGGCAGCAGAAGGCGAGAGTCCTTTTCCCCCTCCCCTCC